TTGGGGGGGGGGGGGGGTGAAGTAAATTTATTCCAAAAATGGCAATTTGTGAAAAGGAGGAGGAAAGAGAATGGAGGGTAATTTGGTAATTTCACCGAGGGGTGGCCATCGCATCGCATAATAAGAAGAGCCCCCAACGCCTACTCTCAGTGTATGATTTAATAAATTAAAAAATAAATATATTTTCCCGAAAGGAAAAGGGAAAAGGAAAGGAAAGAAAATATTTTTGGGAAATCGGAAGACGTTTTCCAATTGTCCGTGGTGTTTCCTGGTGCTTTATTCCTCCTCTCAGGTACCCTCTCCCTTTCTCTCTGTCTCTCTCTCCCGATTTTTCTCTCTCTAGGTATGAATTCAAATCTTAACTCGTTTCTGGGTATGTTTAGGATGTTCCTGGGCGTCTTTACTCCTTGAATTTCTATTCAATTTTGGTATTTCTGTTGTAAATATGTCAATGGAATCACACCCTGTAGTTGATTTTTGGGAGAAATAGGTGTTTGATGTTTCGGCTGTTTATTGCAGTTCACAGTGAGAATGAATCTTGTTGCTTTGTTTTGTTTTGGTTTCAATGTTGTTTTTCAGGAATGAAGCAGATCGAGAATGGGGAATCGTTTGTAGTTAGTGGGGTTTTTTAAAATTTCATATGCAAAATTGGTTGTATGGACATTTATGTTGGAATTATCCAGAAATTTTCAATTTATGTTTCTCTCTTCGATTTGATTAGATTTGACGATTAGGAGTTGGTTTGGTTGAGGAATTCTGATCGTGTTTTTGTGGACTGAATTTGTGTGATTCCGTTTTTTTGGCGAATTTGTTTTATGTGCGAGGAACAGATGGTAAGGGGAGGGAAGGTTGGTAGTAGGAAGAATTTCAAGAAGAAATTTCGACCGAAAGATAAGGGTTCGGATGATTCTGATGAGGATTATGTTGTTTCCAATGATGAAAATGGAGTTTCTGAGTTTTCTGATGAAGATAATTGCTCCTATTTAGACGCTAATGCGTCGGGAGAGGATAACTTTGTTGTGGAGGAGGAGGAGGTGGAGGAGCAACAACTGAATAAGGTGAGGAAAGGAGTCAAACCAAAGGTTGGAAACACTTTTGTTTCAGGTAAAGGAAGGAAGAAAAACGGACGAAAGAGGCGAAGATTTAGTTATCAAGAAGAAGAAGAAGATGACGGGGACGAGGACGATGAGGATTATAGTATAGATAACGATAACGATTATGAGGAGGAGGAGGAGGAGGAGGAGGAGGAGGAGGAGGAAGAAGAAGAAGAAGAAGAGGAAGAAGAAGTTGAGATTGGGATTGAAGATGAGGATGAGGAAGAACCGCTTGTTAGAAAGAAAGCAACCAATAGGAAACGGGGTCGACAAGGGGTGTGGAAAAATACAGTTGGCAAGGTTTGCAAAAAGAGGAAACCAAAGGCTGCAAAGAAGCCTTCAAGGAACAAACGAAGAAAGAAGAGTGAAACGGTTAGAAGCTCAGAGGATGATGATGATGATTTTTCGGAGAACGACGTTGTAGTAAAGAATACGAGAAAGAAAAGGAGTGTTTCAAAGCGGAAGAATCATGTTGGTCAATCAGATTTAGATACTTTTGTTTCCGGGTCATCGGATTATGAATATACCATCTCTGAAGAAGAGAGAGAGCAGGTGAGAGAAGCAGAGAAGTTGTGTGGTAATTTGAGAAATCGAGCAAGGATGGTACCTTCACCCTCAAGGATTGAGGAATCTGAACTACGCCAACCGAGAAAACCTCGACCTCCTGTTAGGAAAGGGAAAGAGAAAATGGAGGAAGTCAAGGCTGAGGTGATAAAGCAAGTATGCGGGATATGCCTATCGGAAGAGGATAAGAGGAGAGTTCGGGGAACGCTTAACTGTTGTTCTCACTTTTTTTGTTTCTCTTGTATTATGGAGTGGGCAAAGGTTGAATCACGATGCCCTTTGTGCAAGCAGAGGTTTCAGACAATTAGTAAGCCTGCAAGATCTGCTGCTGGAATTGACCTAAGAGAAGTCGTCATACAGGTTCCCGAGCGTGATCAGGTATGCTCGTAGTTTGTACGTTGTTCTTGTTTTCCTTTTTGGTCCTTCTATATAGTTTTTTTTTTTTTTTTTTTTTTTTTTTTTTTTTTTTTTTTTTTTTTTTTTTTTTTTTTTTTTTTTTTTTTTTNTAATTGTCTTCTCATTTGCAATTGAGATTGAAATTTTCGTGTTTTTTATTTTCTAGAACTGTACTTCGACTAGCTCTTTCTAATCAAAATTTACTTGCGTCAATTTTCCAGGGATCTCTCGACAGCTCCAAGGCTGAGAGTATGGTTAAAAATCTTCAAATGACTGGCAGGTATCTCCGTGATGTGTGGTAAAAAGGTTTTAATTCCATATAATAAGAGAACTTTTGGAGGGGTGAAAAAAATATGGCAAAGAAAAGGTACTATTATAATATCGGCGTCAAGTTAATGAGTTCTTGGAACAAAAAGGGTTCCCCCCTTCCAGTGCTTATTATCGAAGGGGGGCATTAAGGTCAGCTAGCTGTAAGCTCAGCTCATTATTATGGCAGATAGGTCTGTGATTCTTTTTTTTTTTTTTTTTTTTTTTTTTTTTTTTGTTTCTTTTTTTTGTATCCTACAGGTCTATCAACCATCTGAGGAAGAATTGAGGAGTTATCTGGATCCATATGAGAACGTAATCTGTACGGAGTGTCACGAAGGTGGCGATGATAATCTAATGTTACTGTGTGATCTATGTGACTCACCAGCGCACACGTATTGTGTCGGTCTTGGTAGAGAAGTACCAGAAGGGAATTGGTACTGTGTTGATTGTACAATCCTTGCTCAGGGATTAGCAAGTCCACAGCCTCCTCCAAACCGACTGTCTGATCGAAGAACAACCAACAATTTGTTTAACCGAAGTTTCCCCGTTGCGAATCGGGATGGTTTAGACTTGAATTCTCTATCATCACCTCGTACGCCAATGACTCAAGGATTTGGAAACATCCCATCTCCTAGAATACCTGTGGAGGTGCAATCAACTTCTCCCATGTCTCAAGCAGTTGCGCCGACTCTTGTACGAAGACGAATTCTTCGACTACACATCAATCACATGCGCTCTTCAAATCAAATGGGGTTAGTAAACAACAGGACTGAGGGTGTTTCTGCTGCTGCTGCTGCTAGTTCTTGTGGTGGAGCTACCATAATGGGTCAAGAAACGGCAATGGCAAGCCAAAGTTTGTTTGGGGAGAGCTTATTACATGACAATCCATCTCCATTGATGCAACATGGAGTTTTTCTTCGCTCCGAAACAACAAGTCATTTGTCTGTGCAAGTAATACAAGATCCTCACCTTAGCATGATGTCTATAGATAGAACCAGCAGCAATGGAACAATTTTCAACACTTGGAGAGGAGGATTCGAAGGTGAAAATTCGACGACTGTTGATCGAAATTTGAATGGGACATTGTGGCATGAGCTTGCAGGAGTGAATTTGCTATCGAACTGCGAGACGATTCATGAATACAGCAATATATTGAATACAGGCTCTGATAGCAGTTCATGCCCCACTCGGGTCGGAGACGAGAAAGATTATTGTGCAGCAAGAGAGCATCTACAACCCATGATTGAAAGTCATTTGAAGAATTATTTATCCATAGATGTTGATCTAGGTATGTTCTTACCATTGTTTCCTTTTTTACTCTCTTAGCAGTTTTTAGTTTTTGTTGCTAACTCTCATAATTTATTTGATGTTCTTACGGTTACAGCAGGTCAGAGCACAGCAAACGAGATCGCAACTAAAGCAGCTGGTACGATCTTAGCAGCATGTGGATTCAAAAACTCAATAAACGAGGCTTGTAGAGCAACACCACCATCCCAATGCTCTCACATTGAATTGTCATTGGGAGAGGAGCAAAGAAGCCTTATAAAGGGCCTCTGCTCGGCTTGCTTCGACTCGTATGTTCGGGATGTAGTGAAGAAGTTTACGGACGATGCATCGTGGTTAGATCTCACGCTATAGGGGGATTGCTTGCTTAAAGCAGGCTGCATTTTACCACCCTATAGGTTGTTGGCTTGTCCATAGAATTGAATTCACTGACATTTAAATCATAGTTTTATTGCTACAGCCACATGTGATTTCTCATTATTGAAGAAATGAAGCTATTAAAGAAGTTACTTTTGTCAAATTTAAGCTTTTTTCTTTTTCTTTCTTTTTTTTTCTTTTTTTCCATGAACATAAATTTAAACAGAAAATAAAAGTGTTGTCAGGCCTAAGAATTGGTGTTTTACAAGCAAAATAAATTACACTACACCTTATTTTGACACTCATTGAAGCATAATACTTAGTAATTTGAGAGCTTGCAAACCAAGGAGGGCCTATTGCAGCAGCCAACTTTGATTTGTGCAACAACACAACTGTCTCTTCATAAATTATCACCAAGGATGGTCGACATTAACAGCCCTTGCACAAACCCGCTTCGTTTCGCTTTCTCTTCCTTGTCCTGCATGGACAGAGGTGACGACGGGATGCTTCTGTCACATGAAACCAAGATTTTAGATCCAGGAATTCAAAATCAATGTGTGATAATATAGACATAAAGGGAAAAGTATCTATAACGATTGCCAAGATTTTGGTACATGTACTTGATATTTTGTTTCCCCATATCTTCTACTAAAACTGGTCCTTGCACTAGCTCGCAGCATGCGTTCATTTCAACATACATACTCAGACCCTCATATTCTATCCTAGTTAAAACATCCTTGACGACAATAATATCAACTGAACTCAAAAGACAAGATAGCCAAAGAGAAAACATCTATTCGCGATGCAGAGAATTAAAGGAAAATGTCTGTCAGCCTACACTTATTTTAGAGTCATCTTTGGCCATGTCCTTGTGAACTAAGGAACTATTATAGTAGGAATATATAGAACTTACCGTTCTGATAGTTTGACTTGTGAATTACTCTTCACAGAGCTTGATTCAGCCGGCAAGCGAGGTTGAACATTGCCATAGTCATCAGCCAAAGGTAGAATAAACGATGAGAGCAGTGGATCAGGCACTGAATTGGAGGTAACTAAATACGAAGAACCCCCAAAAAGAGATTGCAAATTTCCTTCTTGAAGCTCTTTCCTCAACAAAGAGAGAGTTGAGTGTGAACCACCTTTACGAGATTTCCTCTTACGCTGCATGTAACCACTGGTTAAGGAACTAAGCATGGGATTAATCTTCCAGTTTAAATTTCATATAGAGTTCGAGCAGAAAACAGTAGCAGGTAAAAATTCACATGATGTGATCCAATAAGAAAAGTAAAAGAATAGAAACGGACAAAACCTTAACTTTCCCTCCCTTCTGAGAAAAAGTCATTGAATAATTTTCGGTGCCAATTTATATCAAGGTCTTATAGATATTCTATTCGGGTAAAAAGTACCAGTAGCTTAGAGGCAAATGGGAGCATAATAGAAGAAAGGGTCACATTCCTTACTCCTCCCAGGAACATGAGAGAGATCTGATAGATGCAAAAGAGATCATTGAGAATACTGCTAGGCGGACACTGAGCTGATTTTTATAGAATACAGCTACAACAAAATCGTGAATGTGAAGCATTCTCGACGAGGCAAATAAGATAGTGGAAAACAGAAACGATAGAAACTAATTTTAACATGATAAATAAAAGGATATCTTGAAAATATTTGCATGCTGCAGGGTTATATGCGCAACCATGTCAACTCCCACCCTCGTATCACAGACTGGACAAACCTGCAGATTAATAATAGTGTTTCGTTCTTTAATTAATGAAGCTATCCTTTTTTGAAACTATGAATAGCCATTATGCACTGCACTTTGAACACAAAGGAATTCATAATGGACTAAAATGGTGTAATGAACAAGGAGAAGTGGCATCACTGATATCAAAATTAAATATCCCCCTTTATTGCGCTTGTGATTACTAGCATCCCGAGTTGAAAAAATATATTTATGTGATTGAGCCAAGAAATATCCTAGATATTGACATAGATTCTGTTAATACATGTTTTCTATATCAAATGTAGAAAACAAAATTAGAATTTATTTTGTAAAAAGGGACATTAGCAAATTTAAAGAATAAGAATCCACAAGAATTAGAAAATTGTACAGCAACAACTGGTTGGCACTGTATGATGAGAACGACACTCTTAGCTATCCAAAAGAAAAAAATGATATTGAGATGAATGAATAGTATCTTGCAATGATTCAACCTGAGATACATTGAATTTGAGGCTTCATTTATTTTGTTAAAAAACAGAGCTTGCAATAATATAAGTGTGAGGAGGTAGGACAAGAGCTCTTCCCATTTATCATCAGCTCTGGAGATTACAAAAGTACAAGTAGAGTAGTCGGAATATGCTTGATATATAACTCTCAAGTGGAAGCTACAAGATACACTTTGTCCCATTCTTTCTCAATCCCCTAGAAAATTTCCCAACCAACTTCCAAAGAATAGCCTAAGGTGCATTCCCCTGTAATACTCTTGCTTTATTCCTCAAGAGATTCCAAATACTTGAAGAGGAGCCGCCAGCAAGGGAATAAATAGACAATGCATGAGTAGGTGATCTACATCTTCTGTAGTTTGTTTAAATTGAAAATGCTAATTTGGAGAACAAAGGGGGTTTTCTTATGAATTCCATCACATGTGATAACACAACATCCCAAAGCTGCAATCCATGGAAGAAGAAAAAATGAAAAAACTTGACTCTCCTCAAACAATTCCCTATTTTCTCCGTCAATAGAACTTTGATGAGATTTTTAGACAAATTGTGTTTCCTGTAATGGTGCCATGAATACCGATTTACATGTACAGTTCCTCAATTTGTACACCCCAAATTTTCATATCTCGATGGTAGTTGGGGAAATTAAGGCTTTTATTAGGCAAATATTTTTCTTTACTTCTCCTCGGAGGGCTCTAAACATTTCCAGATAGACAAAGGCATCACCATACGCTACAGAAAATGAGACTATATGAAAAAAAAAATATATATATACATATAGGGGCCGTCTTCTAAGTTAAAACAAAGTGAAAAAGACAGATATCAGGATTTTTTATTGTTTTTTTCAAGAACATTATTAGATATGCATTTAAGCCAGACAATGATCATAAATCAAAAGCTCAATCAAAATTAACTACTTTTCGAATGGAGGTACGCAATTAAAATCAATTGTTTTGCAGGGATTCATACCCCATTCTTTGCCTCGATAGGATGTTCTTCATCAATGTGACAGCACAATCCAACTATATCAAAATATTCTGCGCAAAACGGGCAGGGAAACTCTTCTCTTATATCATCATCCCCTTCAAGTTCTTCAAACCCCATGAACATACCTGCATATTGAGGTACTATAGAATAAGTCTAAAACTGAAGGTAAAGGCAAAAGGATACAGACAATAAAAATAAATAAAAAAAGAGTAGAGGGACTCATAAAAGCATTCACCCGTATAAATGATGATCTAAAACAAATTGAAGCAGAAGGCAATATCATGAGTGACAGCAGAAAGTTAGATGCACTTCGTCTTAATAACAAAATATTAAGTGTCACATGTTGTAATCTTCTTAATCGCCATTTTCAGAAGTCAGCCCAAGAATCTAGATTAGCATGCTTGCTTATTAGTTCATAAGGTGATTCTTTTTTCTTTTTTTTTTTTCACATACTATGGCCTTATTTTTCAAGATACACAATACATACACTACGAAGTACTTCTCGGACTAATGCATCTACTATATTCTCAATTTCTCGTCTACGCAAGCACACATAAGCATCCTACCGAAAATCCATGGTTAAAAATTAAAAAAAAAAAAATGAGAATGTTGTCCATATTTCAACACCCTCTCCAGTTTCTTGCCTTCATAAAACAAAGCACAATCGAACATTATTCTATCATCTTCACCACACTAGAATAAACAATATCAAACAAAAGCACAATTACAATAGTCACAGTTGTTTCGATTTATTGTCATCAGTTCTTCCACATATCCACAGACGGCAACATTTTCAAGGAAAATCAAATAAAATTATGGTAACAAAAAACATAACAGTGTATGAAAAAAGAAAAAAAAAAAAAAAAAAAAA